TCTCTTTGTAAAGCATTTTTACAACATGAAAACAAGATTTGTCAAATGATTAAAATAATAGCAATTACTGTAGTTAAAAAAAGTACTATGATGTAGTACAGACTAATGTGTAAAAGCCGGGTTCGCAAAATGATTGGTTTAATTTATACTTTTAGTCAAATGTACGTTCATGTTGCACCCTCTATTGTAGGGGCATGAATTAGCTTTTTCTTCAGCCTGGTGCATATTCCTTTGACTTTTGGTTTGGAATGTCCATTTGTCTGTGATTCGCTTAGCTTTTCGTGTTTTGTTTGCCATGAAAGGGCTTTAAGTGTGCAATGTTAAATTCTCAGCCAGCAGTGAACACCCAGGGGATGTTACAGTTCTTAGTCACCCTTCCTCTCCTCTTTTCTGGTCAAATGGAAGAAGAGTGTAATCTACTTTTCTTCATGTTTGGAAAATGGCATTTCCGCACACACAGTTTCATAAAACTGCACAAAGAAAAAAGCTCTTCAAAGCCATCTCTGGATTTTCATTATCTCAACTTTGTCCTACATTAGAGTTGTGCAACTGTTTGGCCTTGTGTAATAATCCAAATTGCTGGAGTTTGTTCAACACTTGGATTCCTCACATGTAGGAAAAACAACTTGCCCTGGCACATGCATGAAAAGCTGTTTCTCTTTCTCAGTGCTACTGTAATGATCAATGATTTCTCACACGTTGACCTCGTTTTGACACGCACATGGCCATGCTTTCTTTCACAAATAAATATGCAAGTGCACACGTGTACACAGAACTGTACAACAACTGTTTTAAAATATCTAATGCTTTATGTTTAGGAAAGCCAGATCCTTGTGCCTCCAGTCCCTGTCTGAACGGGGGAACATGTTTCCACTACATTGGTAAATACAAATGTGAGTGCTCCCCATCCTTCATAGGAAGACACTGCGAGATCAACAGAGGATCCAATCCGGCATTAGAGGGTAATCAAACTCTGTTTTACCTCCGAAGTACACTGAGCACAACAGGAATCAGGAGCTCACACAGCTTTGCGGTAGTCAATATTCATTCATTTAGGCGTAACTGATATGCATGTTAGGAGGAGAACAGCAGTCGTCAATCTTCATTCAGATGATGCCAGGACGAAGCAGCAGGTGCCAGTTCCTGCAGTAAAGCCGGGTTGTGTGTCACCTCCCCAGAGATGAAGCTGGATAAAGTCCTCAGTGCATTTGATACTCTCTCCCTGAACAGAGGTTATAACTCTGCTGTTACAGGCCTCCGTGTTACTGTTGATTCTACAAGGTTTTCCACAAGGTGCGGTTTAATTTGTGTCCTGCTGTTCCATGATAGGATGAAATACCATCACCTAAAACATTTCACAAAATGGATGTTTTTACAGCTTCTCTCGATTTATGAATCTGCTCGTGGCTGTAAATGTGGCCATGTGTATTAGGTAAATTGAAACTGGTTGGTTCTTTATGTTTTCAGGAAAAGCAGTCATTTTTTTTCTTTTTAGAAATTAACAAATATCTGTTGCTGCCACTGCTCATTTTGTTTTATAGTGTTTCTGACATTCTTTTTTGCAGTGTAGGGCTTTGTCACTGCGTTTGCTCTTTAAGTGTTCTAATTCAATTAAGTAACTAAATGAAATTCTTCAGCCTTAGTTGGATGAATTTTTTTCTCTCGGTTAGAATTGTTTGTGTGTTTCTGTGTATTTTGTTTGTTTTTTAAATAGCAAATAGCTTATACATTGTAAAATACATTTATTTTATTATCTAATATCAAAGTAACATTCATAAATATGATGTCATAATTGATCAGAAATAAGTCTTAAAATTGTTTAACAAACCTGACTCATTGCCAACAGTCTGTTTGTTTATATTATTTGTCATAACTATTATAATTATTTCTAATAAACCTGAGTAATTGTAAATTATATAAAACAACACTGGCATATTGAAAATGACTTCCATGCACACCGTTTGTGCACACTGCAGGTCTGGACTGTGGCCCCCCTGTGAAAGTCAAGCACGCAGAGGTGCAGTATTCCTCCACTACTCCAGGCTCCATGGCTTCGTATGTATGCCACCCAGGCTACACTCCCCTTCCAAGGGCCACCCAGAGCATCTGCAGCAGCCAGGGGTCCTGGAGCCAGCCTCCAGTCTGTGAAGGTTAGTGGAGATTCAAAACCCTTGTTGTTCAAAGTTTACCCAAGACAGTCCTGCCCTGAAACCAACATTCCAAAATGGTCGGTTGGTTTGGAATGCTGGGAAGAAGAGCTGATGAGCCTACAAAATGTCAAACGAGTAGAAACACTCTAAAACAAATTGTAGTTTGAAACCAACATAAAGTTTGTATAGCCTGTCAGGGTGCTAACAGAAAGTAGTCAGGCCTTGGTATACAGTTCAGAGTTTTTAAACACAAAACAATTCTGCGGTCTCTCTGTGGGACATAAAGCATGACGCTGCTCTGGCAACATGAGCTACTACATCATTTGTATCACATGAAATAAATAGGTCAAGTACACAGTGAGACAAGGACCTGGATTTCTGTTCATCTTGAGAACTGTTGTTAATGGACTTGCATGAATCTTGATTCATACACCAAACCATCGGGCTCTACAATAAGTGCTTCCTGATCAACAACATGCAGTATTATGCCTTGAACACAAAATGTGTCTATTTATGTAGCGTGTGCGGTGTGTGTGTGTGCTTCAGGTTTTGTTTATGTGTGTGTGTGTGTGTGTGTGTGTGTGTGTGTGTGTGTGTGTTTTCAGGTTTTGTTAAATGCTTCCCTGGTCCATGTACTAGGGGATTTGTACATGAATGACTCTCATCATCCCCTTTTTTTTTCCAGAGATAAACGAGTGTTTGTCTCATCCATGTATGAATGGGGGAACTTGTCGTGATAGGGTAGCCTCCTACCTGTGTGAATGTGAAGATGGTTTTACCGGCCAGCGCTGTCAAACAGGTAACACACTGCATATCTCTTGCTTATTCTTCATTCTTTATCTTATGTCATATTGACATTTTGATATCAGAGATTTTGACACCTCATTGTGCAAAACCTGGCTTAAGTTCAGATTTCTGTGAATGTTTTGACAGACATTGATGAATGCCTTTCTGAGCCATGTAAGCACGGAGGTACGTGTGGGGATCAGCCTGGCTCTTACTTCTGTCACTGCCAGCAGGGCTATGCAGGACAGGACTGTGAGATAGGTAACATCATCAGGAATATGTTCACTACTATTAGGGTTGCAAAGGGGTGGAAATTATCCGGTGAACTTCCGAAAAGTTTCCAAAAATTTTGCAACCCTGACTACTTTGACTTGTGTTTTGGTGTTTTACAGCCTAGAATCACAGTGGACTTAATTTGGCTTTTTCCCCCACTGATCAACAGAAAAACACTCTTTCAAAATGTGATCAACATGATCTTAAATAAATACAAAAAAGTCAGAATTGAAAAAAGAAAACAGAATGGTTCTCATAAGTTTGACAATCTTTTAATATATGACTAAATCACTGAGGCAGCCAGTAAAATAGATCCAAGCCACTGTGGCACAGATGATCTATGTCTTCAAAACGGAGTGGCAATGCAGAAGGAAGACTTGTGCAGGAGGCCACTGACAACTCTGATGAAGATACAAGATTTAGAACCAAAAAAATGATCAAATCTGTGCAGATAACTGTTGCCCAAATGCTTCTGAGTACCAGTCACAGTTTTATGGGTGAATAGCAAAGAGAAGCCATTATTAAAAATGTCATAGGACAGCTCTGCTACGGTCTTCTAGAAGGCATGTGAAGACTTCCACCAGCTAGAAGGTTCCATAGTCTGATGAGACCAAAACTGAGTTTTTTTGGCCAAGTTCACACTGTGTATAATCAGAAACACACCTTCCCTAATTTGTGTAAAACATGGAGGAGATCCTTCTCTGCAGAATGTCTAAAAGACTTGATGAAGGTAAAAGATAAAATGAATGCAGCAAAATACTCAGAAATAAAGAAGAAAAAACCTGATGGAGTCTGCAAGACACCTACTAGGTCGGCTTGGAAAAAGGCCGTACACTCAGTCTCCATGTAACCTGAATGGGGAAAAACTGCAGTGGCCAGATGTGCAAATCTGATGTTATTCACACAGACTCGATGCTGTAATTGCTGCCAAAGGTGCATCTGCTAAACTCAAACACTTGAATACTTATGCAAAACATTAGTTTGTGCGTAATAACTGTAATAACCAATCTGTAAAAAAAAAAAATGTTCATTTTGGCATGAAAGAATATTTTTCTGTTGATCAGTGTCAAAAAAAAATCCCAGTTAAACTATCTGTGACACTGTAAAACATCAAAATTGTTTTTCTTCATTTTCCAGCTTGTATCTGCAACTGTTTTTGTCCTTCTGTATAATCTGCTTTCCCCTTTATTCTGACTTACAGTACATCTGATTTGATACACAAAACACTTCACACCTACTTTATCTCCTACAAACAGCCCACCTCTCAGAATGAAGGATTTTCCATCTTATGATACAGATGTGTGTGTGTTCTGCAGAACAGGATGGATGTGAGCCAAATCCTTGCTTGAATGGAGGTGTATGCCGAGGCTACAGGAGGAACCACCTGTGTGTGTGTAAAGAAGGTTATGTTGGAGACCGCTGCCAGACATGTATGTTAACCATTATTAAATATTACTCCTGAAAAAGTGCACAATACATCACAAATAAACAAGAAGTATTACAATTGCAGTTGACGTTGTTGCTAAAACTGAATTACTTGTTTTTATATTGTTTGTCTATTTTTTTAAGATTACCTGGTGTTGCTATACTTTAAAAAAAAATTAATAATAATAATAGACCTGGTAAAGCTATTTGGTCAGGCCCTCCTACGTGCAGAAGCATTTGAAACTATGGGGGAAAAACGTTGCCTCTGACAAAAATAAGTCTGCCTTCTGCTATGTTAAACTGATCTGAATTCATCAAAATCCTCACAAACGTAAAATATTTTTCTTGATGTGAATACAATTAAAATCGTCAGTGAAATCTGTGTACCCTTCCACTTTCTGGAAGTCTGAGCTCGTTATATTAGTTCTGTACCTGTCAGATATGTAAGGTCTCATCTGGTCCTCTGTTGCCGTCTAGTGGAGAACCCTTGTGTCCTGCAGCCGTGCGGAAACCGAGGCGTCTGTTGGAGTGATAGAAGGGGGAACTACAGCTGCGCCTGCAGGGTGGGCCACACAGGGAGAGACTGTGAGAGAGGTCAGCTCCTGATCTTCCATTATTCAAAATCAACCCATATCCATTCATTTTATTTAAGTGGAGACTATTTAGAAAGTAACTAGAATGGAATTCAGAGTTTGTGTGTTTTTACTGGCAAAGTGATTTGTTAAATTGCTTCCAGGGAAGTTATTAATTATTCAGACATGGGAAGTTTGTTACTTAAACTTAAAATATATGCATTCTTTGGTCTGTATTTGGTATGTATGTATTGTGTTCATAACAAATGAAATTTCCTTTCATAGTTTAGAGAAGTGGTTTTCATCCTTTTTAATTCCAAGCGTTAATTCCCCATTGTCCACAAGAATATTTGAAGAGCCCCCATGTAGGCTAATAGGTTTCCACATATTACAAGTAACTAAAATAATTATAATTAAAAAAATAATTAATTTAAAAAATGTCATAATTACAAAAGTTTTACTAGCTGAATGTTCTTCAGGGATCCCACTTATTTAACCAATGAATTTACATGATGTTTCCAGTTGTTTGTGATTCATTGTTTGAGTGATTTATTTATTTTACTAACAATTTCTACTCGATAAAATATTTTATAGCTGTGCATAGCTAGAAAAATGTAAATGCTTTCATTAAATCTTAAAACACCATGGGTATTTTATCTAGAAATCACTTTTAAAATTAAGCTACCTCATACTTCAAAGAAAAAAAATCCTGATGAGGGGGTGAATTAAAATAAGAAATATGTTTATTTTAGTTGTTTTAACTAACATAAATGCTTGTTTTTATTTTAAATCGTTTTAAGACATCTTGGGGCCACATTGGAAGTTTGCTGAGGTCCCCTAGCGGGCCGCAGCCCACTAGTTAAGAATCACTGGTTTAGAGGGTAATTGAGTTGTTTATCGCTAATACTTTCACTGTTCCCAGACCTGTTGCCTCCATCTGGCCTGCATGTGTTGCGGGTAGAAGAAAATGAAGTTGAGTTACGATGGGATCAGTCAGATGCCACTCAGAATTTAATCAGCGGCTTTGCAGTTGCCTTTGCTCCTATTGGTCGTGGGCCGAGGAAGACAGACTACCTGGAAAAGCAGCATTCTACCTATGTACTACAGGGCCTGAACCCCGGACAGCTTTACAACATCTCCACCTTCTCCGTTAAACGCAACACCAACAGCAATGACATAAGCCAGCCAGCTTTTGCTCTCATCCGCACTAGTGAGAGCTCCCAATTTTTCTTCTGTACCTACATGGTGATTACCGTATGTCATATCTGTTTCCTTAGCACAGTGTGACAGCAGGATTGCAATATATGTTTATTTAAAAAATTTTTTTTTTACATGTTTATTTGTTTTGGTCCTTATTATTTTTCTAAATGTTTACACAATAATAGTGCTAAACTAACATGTACATGTAGAGTATTCACTCAAATACTCTTCTCCTGCTCTGTCTCAGGGCCACATAAGGTGGAACAGCTGGATGTAGTGAATGTGTCGTCCTCTCAGGTTTGGCTGCGGTGGCTGGTGCATGTTGGCCGCCATGCTGCGGTCAGTCAGGTTCGGGTGTCCCTGGTGCCTGCAGATGGTAGTGGACCTCGCACAGCTGTGCTCAATAGCAGCGTCACAGAGTACACCTTTAGGTCAGTCATGACACCGAACAAGGTCAGCACATACACGCAGAAAAAGAAAACACAAGTCTGCATAGTCTTAAGAGAATGATCTTGTAATTTGCCCATCTAGTCTAGGCTTCAAGTGCAGTCAGAAATGTCATATTCACAAGTTCTGAGAACATAATTAAACATTGTTCCCCCGTTTACCGTGCAGCCAAATAATGTGTCATAATAATGAATCTCTGGACCTAGAAGTAGGAGTTTCCGAAAGTGCACTTGAAGGCAGCATGTGTAAAGTGGATACCAACACATTATAACACATGAAAATGTGAATCTTTAAACATTTGCACAATGGGTGACAATCTTCTGTCTTGTAAGAACGTTTGCCTGCAATACACGTATTAGCCATTAGATGGCCACAATAACGTCTAATGCTTGCCTGTATTTTTCGGGGCAGAATAATAGTAAAGAAATGCACAGCTCAAAATAATTTAAATATACTCTTTAAAAAGTGTTCACGACATGTGAGTACATGATGACAGAATTTTTGGTTGAACTTAACTAGACAAAGTTTTATGAGCTTGGTATTTACTTACCACAGAACAGAATAAAACTATCATCGGTTCCACTCTTACGTTAACGTGGGAGAGTGGTGTTTTCTTAAAAAAAAAAAAATAATAATAAATAAATAAATAACAGTTAGTTTTATTCCTTTCTTGCTGCGAGTCGGTTCTGCCGTGATAACTTTTTAATTGTGCCAGAGCAGCACATCAGTTTGAAAAAAACAAAACAAAAAAAACAATCACCTTTTCTATTTTGTAAATGCATGTGAGAGCTCCTCTGTGAACGATTCATCCATGTATCATTTTTAAAGTTTAAAGAATTAAAGTATAATATTATTATTAATAAGCAAATTATTAACATTTAGTAGGCCTATTTAACCTAATGTTTCAATGTGAAATGTTGACAATGTTCTTTTCATAAGCTTAGCTTTAATTAAATAGTTTGCCCCAAAATGAAAATTCTCATCATCTAGCCTACCTGGCTGTGACAAATAAGATAAATATTTTTATTTTTATTCTTCTCTTTTTTAGGTACATAACCTTAAATGATGTAAGAAAAAAATATAATGCAGGTTTGTTTGTTTTTTTACTAAAACCGATATTAAAGTTTTCTTTTAGCCAAAAAACACAACCAAAAATAAAGTTTCAGTAATTAAATGTGTAATTGAACTCTTCAGGGTGCCATGTTCTCAGGTGATACAGACCTTAGTCAGGTTAGACACCATATTGAATTTAGCGTGGATCAAAAACAAGGCTATAAGGAATAGACAGTCTTTGCAATGGCACTTCAATCCCTCACAGCCTCATTTTCATTCCTGTCAAAATTAAATAGGGCGCTACTCTTGACTAAGGTCTATTAAACCAATCATAGTAAATTTCTTTTGCAACAACTCTTGAGATTTCAGGCAAAGTAATTTTACATAGGCTAACATCATTTTTGGTCATGGCGAAGTGTGTACACCCTGCTGACATGTTTACCTGTTGTAGTTTATACACGTGTGTGCACGTCACCATTTAAGCCAAAGAATTCAGCCTTCCAAAATAAATTCTGAATTTGAATTTTTGATGTTTCTCATTTCTGAAAATTTGGTGCATCACTACATACAATTATACATGATCACTGAGTGAGATCTGAGATCACATAAAGGTTTAAAATATGCAAATGAAAAACACATATTTTACTGATTAGTTGTGTGTAACCCACAGCACATTGCTCCCAGGTCAGATGTACACAGTAGATGTAGTCACGCAGAGTGGTTTGCGCCCTGAAGACCTACCATCAACTAGCAAATCTGCTGGGCCACTGCACTTCTGGACCAGTGAGTATCTCTTCAGCTCTGTGTTACGAACACATGCACCTCTGTAGTAAGTAACAGCACATTGTATTGTTCTCTCCATCAGGACCGCTTCCACCTCAGAACCTTTCACTCTCCCACATCACCACCACCTCTGCTCGGGTCACATGGGACCATCATCCTCGGAGTCTTCCAGATGGTTTTGTGGTCAATATTACTCAAGGCCTGAGCACCCGTAGCCGCTACCTACCTGATGGAAGTTTAGGGACTTATACACTACGAGACCTCAATCCAGGACAACATTACCGTCTTGCCCTCACTGCTGTACACAAAATGGGCCAGGACAACATTCAGAGCGTCCCTCAACACCTAGCCTTCACCACACGTGAGTCGCCGATATTTAAGATGACTGCTTGTCTGCAGATTGTCAAGATGTCTTTGTCATTGTGACACATCTGTGTATCCTGTATTGCACAGTACCAGTTCCAAAGGGCAAAAGCAGCAGTGACAGACTTAAGGGAGGACAGGACTACCAGATAGGACAGACCTTGACACAAGTTCAAGATGGAGGCACAGATGACCACACAGAACTCCTTGAAGAGCCCCAAAGGTATAGTACTGTATAAATGCAACAATGCAATTATAGATGCTATGCTGGGAAGCCATGCGAAGAATAATGAGTTCTGTGTGTTTGTTTTCTCTTTCAGATATACAGAGCTTATTGACAGAAGAGGGAGAATTACAGCTAAATTTACCAACCTTCCACATAAAACCATCAGACACCACACAAGTCAGTAATTATTTCATATATAATGGTAATGCATTATGAATTTTAAGTTATGTTGTTTTAAATCATTTTAGATGAACAAATCTGTAAAATAAATAAATGTGTGTTGTATTCAAGAAGTTTTTAAAGTGGGAAACTTGAGAAAAAAAATAATTTTACAAAATGTTTTTTAGGGTTGTCAAAGCTAACATTTTAACTGAGGATAATAAACAATCATTTTTAGAACATTTGCCACATTTGATATTATAAATATTATTATTATTCATTCTCCTAAAGACAGAAATCAATTAGATTAATTGTGATTATATTCATTAGTTTTAAAGGTGGCATATCATGAAAATCTGACTTTTCCAGGTTTTAAGTGCTATAATCAGGTCCCCAGTGCATCTACCAACCAAGGAAACGTTTGGCGCCGGCATTGTGTTTTCGCAAGCGACAACGGTGTACCAGCGCCAATGCCATGGCGAAAGTTTGAGTAAAGCATGCTAACTGTTCTGTCTTTGGCTGCACAGATGAGCACAGGACACTATTTAGAGTCCCAGCCTCAGAGGAGACAAGAGAGCAGTGGATTTATTTATTTATTTAATGTATATTGCTGCTGATACACAGATCTAAAATAAACATGCGATTTATTTCCCAGCTGTTTACCTTCACAGACATAACCGACTGTTTTTGTAACTCATGTGTGTTTTTAACCTACACTTGTGTTTGAATGAGAACTTAGTTTAGTACTCACATGCTGTGAGAGCCGCTTTCTGTCCGTGTCCTCTCAGAAAAGGTATATCAGAAGTTTAAACTCATGATTTCAGCACGATAAACATGATAATCAGAACCATAACAGATGTTTTCAGGAGGTCCTAGCTGTAATGGCGCAGCTCTATTTTGAAAAAGGGGGCGGGGAGCAGCAACTCATTTGCATTTAAAGAGACAGGCGAGCTGATCCGTGCTGGTCGCTGAGGGAATACAAGAGTATGGTGAGGGGCGTAACATTTCCGTCTCATGCTTGAGGTATTCGGCCAATCACAACACACTGGATAGCTGGCCAATCAGAGCACACCTCGCTTTTTCAGACCAATGAGCTTTGTAAAAATCGACGCATTTCAAAAAGGCGGGGCATAGAGGAGAAACAATAATGTACAGTATGTGGAAAATAATGTTTTTTTTTACTTTAAACCGCATAAACACATTTCATTACACCAAATACACAAAATAATGTTCTTTTTAGCAGCATCATACGACCCCTTTAACATTACAAAGTAATTATTTTTCAGAAAATATTTTAATAATTTGGTGTGGTTTTAGTAGCCTACAATGTACTTCAAAATGAAAGTCAATTAAGGAATTTTGGGGAAAAAAGAAAACAAAAAAAGCAGCTTAAAGCAACATAATATGGTATTAACAGTATTATGCTTAACATTTTTTATAAAGCGTAAATGGGTCACTATATATGAGAATACTGTATAAAACGGTCTTGATATTTTATGAAGGGGTCCCTTGCATAAACAATTTTAAAACCTTTAAATTTAGTTTTTATTTAACTTGATTTTTACATTTCTGCCATTGTCTCTTTTAAACAGAGCCTGACCCTCCAATCAAATTAGAAAGGATGGAAGAAACCACCAATAAGATTAGTCTAGCTCTGGAAATTCCTGAAGAAGCAACAACGAGTAAATCTGGTAGGTGATCTTTCAATAAAACTCCATAAAGTTTATTATTAGACAAGTGAAAATTGTTGATTAACTTTAGACAGAGAGTTCGTGGTTCTTAAAACAGGAGAATGTTTTAACAGTTGGTGGTATTCAAACTCTCTAATTGGTCCCAGCTGAGAGAGAGACTGTGGCAAAATACCACTGCATGTATTCTGAATAGTCTTCAGAATGACAGTCACCATAAACAAACCACATCTATCAGCAATCTGTTATGGTTTCAGCCCCCCCAAAAAACGTCACTTATGGCTGTTTAAAAAATCATATTTATGTGCATGTGATTGTGTATTTAAAAGAGCAGCTAAATAAACACAAACATGAAAAAGCTGCAAGCTCGCCAATGTTTAAACTCATCATGTAGCAAAGCATTGTGTTTATGTGTTTGTATCCAAAAACATTTCATTAAATTTCAGAGTCATCCCAAGACTGCAGAACTCAGCCCTGCCAGAATGGTGGAACATGTGCGCAGATCAACGAGTCGTTCGGCTGCAACTGTGCCGCTGGTTTCAAGGGCAGACGGTGTGAGCTATGTTAGTATAACCACTTCTGTTCATTCACATACATACAAACACACACTAATGAATCCCTAATAAATGCCGAACTGAAGAATTTAACTTGAGTTTATTTATTATTATTTTAGTTTATTATTATCCCACCACCTAGACACCAGAATCTGTATTTCACCAAAGTCATTTTAAAAGCATCAGATTGAAAAAAAGCTAATTTTATATAATTTCACAAAATGAAAAATAATATAATCTTTAGTAGCTTTGCCTGTAATAAGATCTTTAGTCAATTCTAGCTTTTGTGTATTTTCTTTCTCTGCCCTGTTGTATTCAGATTGTCAGCGAGTACCTCACCCATGTACTCGCCTTTACTCCGAAACAAAGAGTGTGCCTGCGTGGGAGGATGGTGTCTGCCATTATTTGTAAGTGTCTGCTGTCTGGATCATGTCTATTGTCCTGTTTGGGTCCAGTCTAATCCAATAGTTGTATCTCTTTTTGCTGAGTACCTGTTTTCACCCTCAGGTACAAAAGGACATATAAAGTTCAGCAGGATGTTTGTTTTAGAGAGATATGTGAGCCTTTGCTGCCTAAGAAAGTACTGCCCAAGACTCCAAGTACGTATAATGTATAAAACATTATACACAGTTTTTCCTGGTTCCATTGTAAAGTAGATGTAAACATATGGTGGAAAGTGACTTTGTTAATATGCACAATTTAAATCATGGCATGGAGCTGATAGATGGCAGTATTAATGCTGTGTATATGAATTAAACAACCCTTTTTCCCCTCTCTCTCATCAGACAGAAGAACTCAAAAACAACAACAATAGTGGCGAGTATATTTTATATCTCTGATAGAAATGGACAAAAACATATCGTCACATACTGAATGTGTTTTTTTTTTCTGTTTAATGACAGCTTTGGGGAGTAATTGCTTCTCTTAGTCTTAGTTTAAATGAGGATGCATTACCATCATTGTTGACCCTTTTTTTTTTTTGCATCACTGGTCACCTTTTATTGGCTACATTGTCCTATGGATGTATATTTGTTCATTTACAACTCCAGATCTGTAGATGAGCTTGACCATATGATTTAGGATTTATCTGCATCAAATAGCATACCTCAAATGTAAATATGATGTGATATTGACATGTAGTGGTCGTCAAGTCCCTCAGGGCATTTTTTTGAATTATTGCCTGTTCAGTCTCCAAAACCTACAAGTATTTGCATTCAACCATTCATTCAAACCTGGTTCTCTCCTACAGCTAGATCACACAAAATACTGGAAAAAATGTCATACCATTGTTTCTGTTTGTGTTACAGAAAGCTGTCTGCTAGCTACCATGTAAATAGTGTTTATAGACTGTTTTTGTAGTTGAATATTTTAATAATAAAAATGTTAAAACTTCATGGTCTCTTCATTTTTTCAGGAAAAAATAACGTTTCGGTGGGAGGGGGTAATATGAAACATGTATAGAAATATGTAAGGATTTTTAACTGATAAACCTTACTGGTGGGCATTCTTATCCAGAAAACAGATTTTGAGTTGTAGGACAAATAACCGATGAGGCTATGCTAGACCCTAAATTACCACAAGGTGTCGCTATTTTATTAAATAAATAAAATGCTAAGAATCTCCCTTTTATCAAGCAAAATTTCCTGAGACTGGTTGTCTGGCTTTGTGAAATATGTAGTTATGGATCTTGCCCAATAAACTGCAAGTCTACAGTCCCAGGTAAGTGGTGACACAGAAAGTAGATGGCTACGGATATCAATTTCCTGCTCTAACTTCATTGTGCCTTTTAAGAAAGCACTTAAACCAAGGATTGGACTGCAGTTAGTGCATTTATGCCATTAGATTAGATTGAATTCAGCTTTATTGTAATTGTGCAAAGTATAACTACAAAGCCAATGCAATTATACCTTTTCAAAAGGTGCACTTTTGTAACATTTAAGTACTAATATTTGCATATTTGGGGGAAGTCGTGGCCTAATGGTTAGAGAGTTGGACTCGTAACCCAAAGGGAGCGGGTTTGAGTCTCATACCGGCAGGGATTGTAGGTGGGGGGAATGAATGTACAGCGCTCTCTCCCACCTTCAGTACCATGACTGAGGTGCCCTTGAGTAAGGCACCGAACCCCCAACTGCTTCCTGGGTGCCGCAGCAAAAAAATGGCTGCCCACTGCTCCGGGTGTGTGTTCACTGCTGTGTGTGTGCACTTTGGATGGGTTAAATGCAGAGCACTAATTCCAAGCATGGGTCACCATACTTGGCCACATGTCACTGTCATATGTGCAAGTACCAATAGGGACCCTTTAGGTACAAATGTGTAGCTTTTTTTTTTACTGCCCCAAGTGACAGCTTTTGTACCTTTTTTTCAACAGAAATGCAAGTAGCAATATGTCTATAGATATATTTATATACAAAATACTATCATGTTCTATAAAAAAGTGCATAAGTATAAGGTTGAGAAAGCAGAGACCAGCTCAATGCAAGAGACAAGGTGTGCAAAGAGAACAAAATCTTAGAAATGATAACTGGGATAAAGTCTATAATGAGCTTTATTATGATTTCTTTGCATATTACAAACAACTATTTGCAATTTAAGGAAACAAACTGATACAAAGGTTCTTGTACATCCATCAAAGATTGATCAAATATTCATTCTTAGTGATATCATTAGAGAAATATAGTCATAAAATAAAAATCAACCTTAATAATTTAAGTTTGTAATGTGATATTAATATTAATTTCAGATATATTCAATAAGAGCTATTTTAATATAGCCTTTATTACATACATTTTTATGGCTGCATTTTAAAACAAAAAGAAAAAAAAACTATTGATGTACAGAGTCACATTATACATTTTAATGTGGGAGATACAATGAAACATAGTTACTTTTGTTTCTTAACTTTCACTTTGGTTTAAGTTAACTTGATATATAGCATTTTTCTTTAACGCATATAATGCGTTTAATATTTCAGGACAAATTTGTTTGAGATCAGACGGATTCAGAAAGCAGTAACCGGCGTAGGCAAAAGCTTACAGTTGTCACCTGTCTGTATTATTATCATTACACCAAACCTAGGAGTTTTAAACTGTCTGCCTCCCCCCAGCCGGCCGCCCCCTTTCTTCAATGAAAACTGAGATTGCGGGGGGTGCAAAGACCATGAAAGGACAGAGCTGGACAGAGACACTTTTAAGGGCTGTTTGTTTGGGGTAGTATTTGTGGCTTGTCCCCCGACTTTTTATTTTAAGAAATAGAAGCTAAGGACTTTCTCCCAGGAGAGATACAGCGCTGTAACAACGTCCAACTGGTCCCGCTAGCGCCCGTGCGCTCACTCAGATTGAGCGCGAGCTAACCGAAGTTAGCTGGACGGAGAGGAGAGAGGGGTCGACAGAGAGCGCCGTCGTCCAACCTAGTAACGTTAGCATGTCGCCCTCGGGAAGAAGTAACTCAAGCTTTGGATGAGGTTCCGTGGCGCAGTTCGATCGCAGAGACTTTTTGACGTGACGGTGGTTTGGGATGTTTCTGTCAGCGCGGGGCTCCGGTGGAGGCGCGGTGTCCCGGGGTTGGCCGCATACGGTACTGTGGAGACTGGGGGGTTTCTTTCTCCTCCTGCTTCTCGAAGGGGCCCGATGCCTCGCCAACCCGAGCAACGCGCCGGACATAAACAATAACAATAGGCCGAATATGAACGTCTTCATGAGCGAGGAAGAGGTCAAGAAACTCTTGGGTGCGTATACTTTATTTCCCCGTCTGCTCAACTATGTTCCTGCCCTATCCAAAGTTTTGCCTAGAACCAGAAATTTCTGCCACTCTGTCGGATTAACTGTATTTGCTTCTAACTAACTACTAAAAGCTATCTCGTGTGTCTGTTTAGTGTCCAGAAATAACTTACACAAGTTGTTTTAAACATGCTCACAGACTGCTGAAACTTTGTTGGTTAGCTCTCCATATGTTAGCTTTGATAGTCCAAACAATCCGCAGCGTCCTTGTAACCTCTAAATAGACAGCTTCTGCTTAAGAAAAGCGTTAATATATGTACAGAAATGTTACAAAATGCACATGTAAAAGTATTTTTATGAGGTTATGCTTCAACAAGCTATTTAAGAAAAACAAAAAGCGATTGGGTTTGTCATTAGATCGAAAGTGTTTGTTAGAAAGTTTTCCAAGTGTATTCCAAAGCTTTACATGCTTGTGCTATAGGAACCATAATTATGTGGTGATTTGTAAGGTCTATATCACACACATGCACAAGATACAGAGCAGAGGTGTATGAGCTGATTTGAGTCATTCATTGGCGTTGGTGTGTGTCAGAATTAGTTGAAACAAAAGTCGCACAATGGATTTTTCTCTTTCTGCTTTGTGTCAGGCCTGTCAGAATCAGAGCTTTTTATAACAGTATAACAGACTAGCTTGCATAAAATACATTGTCACTACCTCCCAATAATATGTCAACTTTTTGTAGTTTTAATTTTGGGGATCAAAACATATAATGCAATGCAATACAATGTTGATTGAGAGATGTACAAATAACTTTCCTCAAAAGCCTGTTGATGCTCATATTTTTACACGATTTTTTTCTTATGTGATATAGGCTTTAGGGTTAAGTGTAAAATGCGAGAGAGTGCATTTTCATACATTTTTCATACTCTTGTAATCCTAATGAAAAACTATAGGTATATTTATTTATGCAGTTAATTAACAACATATGATTGTTTATGTGTTTGTTATTGACTTAATGGCTCTGCCTAAAATGTAAATTTTTGCAGAATATCGTCCTCTTTCCAGACTATAGGGGCCAAACCAAGTGTTTTGTACTCTGAATAATTTAATGCATTCATGGTTCTTGAAGAAAAAAGGCTTTGTGATGCGCTTGCTATGTTTGTATTCAGAGTGGGTTTTTGATTCAGCGCCACTGTGATTAATGCAGTGAGAACTGATTAGTGGTTGTTAATTGCTGGGTATTTGTGACTGGGCCTATAAGCAGTCATTATCATTGCTAATGTCACAGCATAGTTAATGCAAGGTTTGGGGGCTGGAGCATCAATTTCCTGCTGGAAAGAGGAAGCGGAGACAAGGGCATTTTAGAGCAGCCTTGTTTGAACTTGTTTTGAGGGTTTACCCTTTCAGCTTAAATTGATAGCAGTTTCTATTAGACTAAAAATAAAACAAATTATATGTGGCATTTATGTAATGTGATGCAAATGCTGTAGCATTTAGCTTGAAAGCTTGAACTTTGAATGTTGCCATATGGAGTATAAGGTTTCAAGTGATGCAGTACTTAAACTTTTTACATTTGAATGCTTTGAATTTTGTAAAGGATGTAACCTAACCAGATGTTCAAGACGTGTCTGTGGTGGTTATTAGAGGTCGACCGATAGTGGATTTTGCCGATACCGATAGCTAGGTTGGACCACACTGGCCGATACCGATTAATTAACCGATTGTTTTAAAATTGATACTGAACAAAAACTAAAATAGTGCTTTATTAACAAAAACAGTACTGAACCATACTAGTAGTAGTAGTAAAAATAATAATAATAGGAATAGTAAGTGTTGAAATTAACACCCTCTAACAAGGAGCAATACTTACACAGCTTTCATTAATCTTAATGCTACAAATGGACTCTTATTTTAAAGTGTTGCCACTTAATTTCAACTGCCCCTTCAGCTCTAGGAGCCCTCTCGAACGCCACCCTCCGTGCGTCGGTAGACCCCCGGGATCGCTAGATCGGTCGGCGCCGGACCGCGAATTTAACCATCCGTAACTCCCGAACCCAGGGGGCTATCCACGCGGGGGTGGTCTCATTCGAAAGAGGGCCTCTAGACGTACACTCGATTCACGTTCGAGAGGGTTCCTCGAGCTGAAGGGATCCCCCGAATTTGGTGCGGAATCGCCGCACCTTTATGGAGATATGGCCGTTCAAAGTTTCAATGGTTTTCCATAGACTTAAAGCGTTTCATCCAGGTCGCCAGTAGCAAACAATGGAGCGCGCTCTGCTGGACAAACTAAGTAATTACACAATTTCAAGCATTTTATCTGCATTATATGTTCTGTAAAAAAAATTTTCATATCGGCGGCATATCGGCGGCATATTCGCCGATACCGATATATCGGCGACAGGCTCATATCGGCTGATAATATCGGCAAAACGATATATCGGTCGGGCTCTAGTATTCAGTGTTTATCGAAATTAGAGGTTGTGGAGATCAGTAGTATATAAAATCAGTACAGATGAGCTGAATATAGTGTTAAGCACTGTTATCTCAAAGTATCAGAACAGCATTGAAACAGGGCATGAAGTGAAGATACTTTAAAAAAAGCCTTGTTTACAACTTTCAAATTTTTCTCCCTTGTAAGGATCTATGGCTTTCCCCTGTGACATCACTGCACCGTTCATCCAGCCTCATGCTGATATAGTAAAGAGAGAAAGCTTTCACTCTCTCCTTCACAGTCCCAACACCACAGGGATGAAAAATCTCAACTATCCAGCTCTTCATCGCTAACAGACAGCGTCAGCCCTCTTGTGTCTGAGTTATTTTGGGGGATCATTAGATGGCCTTGCACAGTGTATGGCAGTACATGGAATGTTTAGGTCACGAAACACATCCACTCTGATTTACGATGTAGACTTGCTGCCTATGAAACATTTTCCTCCTGTAAAAAGTGGAAACGCCTTGAATAGATGCAACAGACACATGGTTGCAACTCTTTTAAGTCTTAAGATGGCTGCGTTTAAATTAGTTAATGCATTCACAGTCAATTTGATGTCTGTAATGTGAGAACAAATGTATTTCAGAGTAGGGATGCACCGAAATGAAAATTCTGGGCCGAAACCGAACAAAATGAAACACTGGGCCGAATACCGAACACGTTTTTTCGAGTTTTTTCCCCCATGTATTTTTGCCAATTTGTTTTCACCGTTGCATAAATGAAATAGCCAAAATGTGCTTTTTACTGTTTTGTCTTGCTTTTCAAAGAGGAAAATCAATTACAAAACAACAATTAAAAAATATTTAACACTGTGAACATTTTTAACATTCTAGCAGACACTATACCAACAAAGCACAATTTAACTTAAAATTAATGAGTTAGTAAAATAATATTTTTTGGCCATCAGACCCCCTTCTTGAATCAGGCATGTATTTTTTTACTGTACAATTAAAAGCAACCTTGCTGAGAAGCGACTTCTTTTAAAACATTAGAAAATATTACAGGTCCTAATTTGAACACTATGTGTGAATGTTATTAACAGAGCTGTTGTAATGATTATTATCATTATTATGGTCTTACTTTTCATTTTATTTTACAGAACAACAGTAAAATTACAATACTAACATTTATGAATGTTGATAGAGTTTATCTCAACTTTTATTTTGGCGGAAACGCGCAGGAAGACCTCAATGCTTATTTTTGTTGACAACAGATTTATAAATGAGTCTCATTACGAATAGGCCTGTCGCGATAATTAAATAACCGTCTAATCGCGATTATTTGATCTAACCGCGGTTGTTTCAGACGACCGCGATTATTGTGCTTTTTATACGAGACAAGGGGGAGTCATACACCAAAAGAAACAGAAGAGCACCAGTTTGCTTTTCATGCACTGTATAGCCTATACAGGGCTCCAGATTCATTCTTCCCACTGGTCGCTCTTTTGCAACTAACTTTCTCAGCTGGTTGCACGAGCACATGATTTGGTCGCAATATTTATTTATTTTTTGCGCTACAACATGGGATTATTCAATGCATGCTGATGAACTATTATCATAGTTTATAGTTATATGGAAACGAAATTGGTTCACATTCAACCCGTTCTTTATAATCAGTAGTATTATTTGTGATTTGAATTTTGCGAACAGGAGTTTCTCTTTTGCTGTGTTAAGCCGCGGGCTTCGGATGCTTTCACTTTTGAATTCGCGATCTTGTTGTCACTGTTTTGCTTACATACATCTATGTACCTTTCATTTTTTAAGACTAAAACAAAAGATGGATTCATTGTTATTCTTAATCAAAAAGCACGTCACTGTTTTGCTTACACATCTACACACCTTTAATTTTTGTTAAAGACTAAAACAAAAGATGGATTCTTTGTTATTCTTAATTCAAAAGCACAACAACAATAAATCAGTAAGATACAATGACAAACTAGCTTACAAAACCACAAGAATACCAGCATGTTCACCTTCTCTGTTTTAAGAAGCGGTCTTTTACTTGACTTTCGCTTGAAAACCATCCATCGTTTCCTTCAATATGAACGTAATTTTTACGCGGGGAGTATACTCTCTAAGCACTGTTTCGTTATGCTTTCAGTTTCGTTTGCCCTTTGATGTTTCTCATATGCAACAGAAATATAAAAACAGACAATTAATCATGATAATCGGCATAATCGTCAAAGCCCTAAAACAGACAATTAATCGCAATAACCGTGACTATTTTTAGGCAATTAATCGTCAGCCAAATTTCATAATCGTGACGGCCCTAATTACGAATACGTCGTACGTATCGCATTGTCACATGCCGTGTAAAAATTCATAAAAATGTGACTGAGCAACTGACGAGTAACACTGTTTCAGCACAGATTTTCCTCGCACTTTGGACTTTGAACCCTGGTTAACAAGCAGATAGCGCAGTGAGTTTGTGAAGCGCTGTCAGAATACATGAAATGCGTTATGTATTAGAAAACATAACGTTCTGCAGTTTATTTACTGATTGTTTAAGGCCATTTC